ATAAAAAGCGAGTGAGGGACAGCCATATAAGAGGGAAAGAAAGAGAAACTTTAAAACTGTTCAATTGTTATGATGTTTAAAGACTGATATTGTTCTATAATCGTCTGAAACTGTTAAGTCATGATGTGAAACGGTTAACGAAAAAGGGAAACTCAAGCTGCTGCTACACTTTATTTTATTTATCTAAAATTAAGCACTTTTGAGATGCACACATTTTCAAAAGCTATTTTATTTATTTTTTCTATTTTATTTTTAAATGCAGCCAGAGAGGAACATTACACATATCCACTGTATTTTACTGTATATCTGTATAGTTCAATGTTAATTGACAATAAATATTGTTGTTTATGAATTGTTCTTTATTTGACTGGCAGTCAGTTGTTGATTACATGCAGACGTTGATAAAGCTGCAGGCTACTTCAATATATATCACACTAATTCATAAAGCAAGTTAGACATTTTGAAGTTCCGGACCTTTGCATGGGGAGATTTTCTCTAACTGGACCTCGTTGAATTTTAGTTGAATACCCCTGCTTTAGATTCTGTAAACTGATCGGCCTCATACAGAGATGTAAAATGTCTGTTACTTTAACGTTTAGCCAAGGACTCCCTATGACCTACTTGCTCCTTTACATACTGACCACTCCTGCTTTTTCCAGCCCTTCGAGAGCTCGCACATAAGCTGGTGATCGGTGATATCATGACTGTGTGAGCTCAGTGTGTGTGTGTCGAGGGAGAAGGAGGGGTCCATCTGAAAGAGGAATGCAGGGGTACATCGATATGAGGTCATGAGAATTATGGGATGTTTGCACAGAGGGAAGGGCGAGATGTGAATGAGAGATAAAGCAAATGGGTAATATCCATGAAGAGAACACATCAGCTTAGAACAGCTGCTGGGACCAAACTATGAAACACAAGCATCGTTTTAATACATAATCCCTTTCAGTATTAGATTGATTTCACGACAGAGCGAAACCATTAGCACTCAGCCGACTAAAACAACCAACACGCCATTAACTAGTGCTACACGATATTAAGTAAATATAAGGTAATCACATGCTGTAAATAAAAATCTATGAAAGTGTACTAATTTCTTCCCTTTATGCTTCCTTCAATATCCTATAAATTGCTAATTGGTAGGGGTGTAACGGTTCACAAACATTTCGGTTTGGTAGTGTACGTACCTCGGTTTTTAGGTCACGGTTCGGTACGTTTTCGGTAGAGCAGAAAAAATTATCGCAAAACATGAAATATTTTTTGTTTTTTAATTATTATTAAACTGTGAATAATGTATTCACTCAAATAAATACAAAATATAATAAAAATAAACCTTAAGGTGCAGCATTTCGATGAACTGAAATAATCTGTACTTGAACTGTACTAGTACTCAACTNTGGACTTGTTATCGCGATATTCATCCGTACCCGTGAGTTTTTGAGTATCGCTTTACTCCCTCCAATCAATTATCATACTATTTCAATGTATTCAACCTTCTTCTTCTCTTACCACCACTTACACTTTCAACCATAGCGTTTAGTCAGTCAAGATCTTTCAGCATAAGCATTCTCACTAGCAATCTTCTTCAGGAATGCATTCCCTCGCCTAGGTTTCTTGAATTGTCTTTGCTTGTAAGCGCTTTGGGACGAAGGAAAAGCGCTATATAAATCGTAATGCTATTATTATTATTTCGAGTTAGAAACATTCATTTTTTACACAAAGAAGATAGAGAGTAAATCGCCAGGAATCATAGTTTTAAAATTTCTAAAGCGCTTGTAAAACATTTACTCAATATCATTCTCTCACGTTCAGGCTTCACAAACTACAGGGACAGTAAGCTCGACCCGCATCTCTGCAGAACTCGTTGGGGCGGGACGCGTAAAACAGTCCATCATCGCACCGGACGTCACTCCAGTCACTCTGGACACGGAGACCCTCAGTACTCTGCGGGCTTGGTCAATATGCCGACGTTTGTTGTCCTGTACAAGCATCATAAACAACCTACTGAATCCCTGTGCTCCTCCGAGTCTGGGGGTCCGGGGACTGTGAGGACAGCGCAAGGAACACAGACAGGGAGGCTGCTTTCACTTCATAAAGGAATCTTGGTCAATATTAAATGTCCTGGTCCAAGCAACTAAGACTGCTATGAGACACTTGAGTCTTTTTTAACTAGAGCGCCTTAAGGGTTACATGGGATAGAAGTGCATGTACAACACATCTTGTGCAATATAGTTTCCAAATACATATTTTCAGTTGTTGAGTAATGTTGGTTGTCTAGTTTTCCCGAGTTCGATTGGTGATTGGATCAATCAAATTCTAGTAACACCAGCGCGCTTGAGGGCTTTGTTTCAGTTTCGCCGTGACAGATTGCACGAAACTCCATACCTTCGATCAATGCAGATTAACGCATACGTCCTGAGGGCGCGCACGGCCTGTTGGAATATCAGCATTTTCGTTTACGGCTCATCAAGCATGTCTGAAATATCTTCAGTTCGTTAATTTAGAACCTGTATGATTTTAACTCGTTTTCCCATTTGCTGCAAAAAAATCATATTAGTCAACCCAGTCATGCCAACATATTAATTTATCACTGTAATCTGATGTTTATTTTTATTTTATTTGAATGTATTGCATATCTTTAGATCGTTTTTATTTTATTTAAGTGTATTTGAGTGTACTAAGTATTATGTTCGTGAACCTGTATTTAAATCAGGCTTGTACATAATATGAGTAATCCGAGATCATGTAAGTGTAACTATGTATTCAATTAATGAGCGGTACTTACAATCGGGGTTTAATTGTTGACTGATAGCAGATCATGCATTGTTTATTGTTAATTTTTTATTGATGTGTCGCCCCTTTCTGAGGACTCACAGATGGGAAATTAGCTATTGCTATAATCTGGCATATTGCATCTCTTCTCTTTGCCGAGATTAATCAGTTTTGTATGCCATGGTCTTCTATAAATACAAACTAAAAAAGAGTAAAAGCTTAACTAAACTGTCATTGACGTGTTATGAGAAAGAAGTAGAAAATTTTGACAAAGATGAGGCTGTTAACAGGGCGCGGATACGGTTAAAGACAACCAAAAACCCCTTGATTCCCAATGACTTGGGAAGAATTGACCACACGAACAATCTCTCCGGCCCAAGTGAAAGCTTTCGTGGCCAGAAACATTAATAAAAGCAAATGCTGATGCAGCACCCCAGAGATGCAGGGTACAGTGGTTAAAGCTGTTCAATATATATTGCAGTCAGTGTGTTTTCCTGACATCTGGTGCAAAGGGGCTCATCTCCCCATGTATAATGAGTTGGAGCAAAATCGACCTCTCACTACCGTGGATCTGTGCTCAGCAGCTGTCTGGGGAAATTAATTCTGTAGTATTCTAAATAAGAATACCAGATTTCCTTAACCAACATCATCTTGAGTAAAAATCAAATTGGCTTCCTTCCAAAACACCCTGCACCACGCCGACCTGTATCAGTACCTTCCACGTTTAGTTAACAAACATGTAACCAAAAAAACATGGTAGAATATTGCATTGTTTCATTTGATTTCAAAAAAGCTTTTCGACTCTATTTGGCACGGAAGGGCTTCTATTATAGACTTCTACATTGTGGTTTAGGGGGCAAAATGTAACTGGTTCAATCAATGTTGTTAGGGAATAAAGTGTGCTGTTAAAATTGGGACAACAACTGAATTCTTTCACTTCAGAGAAGAGGTGTTCGTCAGGGTTGCAATTTAAGTCCGACTTTATTAATAATAGTATATACCAATGAAGCTTGCTGTTCAGTTGGATCAGCTGTGCTGGCTCCTGGCCTCTCCTCTAGATAGGAGGTGGAAGTGTCTGCTCTAATGCTGATGACTTGTTCTGCTGTCCTCCTACTGAACAAGGACTACAAAAACAGCTGTGACATGAGTGACAGTACTGTAAGAACTGGGCCTGCAGTCTATGAGAAAACTAATGTCATGGTTTTCCAAAAACGCCCCAGATGGTCCAGAGAACAAGATACCCGTTTCCATAGACAATCATATCATCGAACATGAGTATGAGTTACACCTACGTCGGTTAACCATAAAAGCATCAGGAAGTTCCAAAATGGCAGTGAATGCATAAAGGAAAAGCAGAAGAGCTCTAAACTGCATTAAAGCAACATTTTATAATTGTCCCTGAAAAAAAACCAAAAAACATAAACACAAAAAAATACAAAACACAATTCCAATACTAAAATCCTAGGACATCAAAAATCTTTGATATCAACCAGCCTCCTATGCAAATAAGATAAAAAAGATAGGTAAGAAAGAAAAGAAGAGAAGAGCGGCTCCCCAATACACTACAGATACGACAACCATAACACAATAAAAAAAAAAACAAACAAACTTATCAACGCTTGGACAAAACAACCAACAGAGTCCTTTTTTGTACTGCAGAATTCTGCAGATACATTTACGTGTTCAGGAAAAAACCTACCAACAAATGCATAGCTAGGAGAGCAGAATTCAGGCGGATACCCACTGATGATTACCACTCAACAAGAGAGCATTGACATTCTTGTAACCACCTTAGGTCCAGCCCCGAGACAACCCTCAGCACTTCAAGCCCTCCAAAGCCAAGAGCTAACCCCAGAGAAGAGTCCCCTATGGTCCAGCTGGTGCTGAGGGCATAGCTTGCCCCCTCTCGAGCCACTGCTGACCAGTCTCTCAAGCACACTGCTCCAACAGGAACTACCAGTCAAACGACTTACTAACACACAGTAAAGACAACATTTACAACATTAGAGGACAGAAAGGACACTCAAAAGCAAAGTAGATCAGATCGTGTTACACTGGCTACAACAGAAGTATCCAGAGCGGCGAGTACTCTCATCTAGCCTGTCAGAGATACGAAAGCCGAGACAGTCTCCCACCAAGACAGGCGTACAGTCGCCACAACTGAGCATCGAAAACGGCAAGAATCAAAGATATCCTGGCAACCAAGAGAACAGAATATACGTGGCTCATACTGTACGAGCCAGCACGGTGACGACTGAGACATTTTGGAGATGCACTTCCTCCTGAAATGCAATACATTCAACGAAGTAAGGAGCATTTACTGGAACAATGTCTGAACTCTGTAATCCCAGGTTTAGGGAGTTGAATGCCTCTCAACCGACTGAGAGTCTCCTAGGAGAAGGAAGACAGAGGCACAACCTTTGCTGTCCAATATGTACTACACATGCCACAACCGTGAGGACTAGTGAATGAGACAACACACACACCAACACCTACGTGGTTGAATGAATTGTATCACTGTATATTATATATATTTCATAATATGTAAACGATTTGAAATGTATGTTTAATGTTGTTACTTATTCTTGTATTTGTGATCGCTTTGGCACATTGTTTAAGTTTAACTTTCATGCCAATAATTGTTATTTGGTCTAGCTGTTGGAGCAAAACGCATAACTATTGAAAAAGAATATGTTTTGTGTGCTGTATCTAGGTGAGTTGAGTCAGAAGTTCACCGTAATTGTCGGGACTATAAGGCGCACCTGAATATTAAGCCGCAGCTAAATTGAATGATGTGTACTATAGTACATGGCCCTGCAGGTGTTTTAATGTTTCTATTACCATATTGTAAGGGTTCGTGCACATGAGGGGAATTGTCGGGAAGAGATGGTGTTGAGGAGCTCCCATTTATTAAGCATTTCAACAAACAGTTTGCATATTTGCATAACTTATTCAAGTGCTTACCATTTAAGTGCAATAGTCACCTACCAGAACATGTGCTGTGTAAGACTGTACTGTATCACATAGCGGTTTCAGAACCAACTTTTCAACTTTAAACTTGAAACGAGTGGCGCTCCCAGCGCACGTATGGCAGATGTATACAGGCAGTGGTATCGGGGACAAACTGTCCCCTCGCTCTTCGTAATGTTGTCTGTTCTTGCTCTCGTTCTGTCTCTCGTACCCTCTCGGTTCCACTTTACTTTGTGCGCGCCCTGTACTCACTCTTGTTTCCGGCCTCCAGCTTGTTTCCTCGCTGAACCGCAGCTTAAAGGTGGGGGGGCGGACTTGGCCTAGAGCCATAGAGTTAAGGTGGTGCTGTAACCTTGTAAAATTCCATAGGATTTAGGAGGTCCCCGAGTGGCGTTAGCTGTAAAAAATGAGATTAGCCGCACCCGTTATATAACGCAGGGTCGAAGATGGGGGAAAGGCGCGGCTTATAGTCCGAAAAAATTACGGTGTGTAGTGTATATATAGGATTACTTGAAAACAGTCCCCAATAATACATGTTTACTTTAATACAGTTTAGAACATAATCTTTACTACTCGGAACCGAGTTTTGTTTCCCAACCCTGCCACTGGGCTACACGTCCTGCCACACCCCGCCCCCGTCTAACAGTACAGAAAGCGGCGAGATGCATTTCCTTAAGAATCGACAAGCAGAACCAAAACTAACATTTCCAAAATAACAATGGTGGACACGGACAATTTGCGAATGAGTTTTGCCTTTTGTAAACTGAATTTATCAATAATTTGTCAATAAATGAGGGCCAAAAACATCACTTGTCCGCTGGACAAGTCAATTGAAAGATCTACTTGTCCGATATTGTAAATAACCCGTCCCGGACGGTGGGACGTGTGCTTTTTCGCACACTGGGGTACTAAGTGCTGGGAACTAAGTACGGCAAAGTACTTGGTGTGAAAGCGTCTATTGCCTAAAAATAGCATGAGAGGTGCACTTTAAATCGTCTCAACTTTGCTTGAGTTTGCGGCTTTCAGGATTATGCCTTGGGGCTATTCTTTGTCGTTATATTTTCTTCTTTTTAAAGGCAATACAGTTGGCTTATTTGCCCTGCACAATTATGCAAGATTAAACATTGCACATTATCAGTCGAAGGCCTGTCCAGAAAGTTTTATTTTTATGAGACTTTACAACATGGACTATTAGAGGGAACGGACTGAGAAATCAAAGCAGATCATTTTTCAAAACAATTTTTTATTTGTGTTAGTTTGCCAGCACTGCAAAGAAAATGAAGAACGACCCTCATGTGACAGAGGTGTCCGATGAAGGGGCCCTGCTCAAAAGGTATCGCAATGAAATTGAAGACCTGAAGCGTCGACTTCAAGAGGCAAGTATCATCTTTCCTTTTTTTTCTTAAGTCTTGTTTTATTTTGATGTGCTTATCACCACAATTCTTATTTTAAATGCACTTTCTACTAACTACCCATGGGTGATCTCGCTACAGGTGTCTTCAGTCACACAGACTACGGCCAAGGAGAAGAGATCTCTCTCCCAGAGGCTCCAAGAGAAGGATCAGCTGCAGACAGAGCAAGAGGACCGCATCAGAAACCTGACCAAACTGCTTGTCACCAGCTCAAACCTGGTTCCTGTACAAAAGGTGAATATGACTTAAAATAACGCTGGTTTTAAAGGAGACCTTTTTTTCTTCAGTCATGCTTACTCTCATCCTGTTTTTCCAGGTGCCCAAACGCAGAGAAACTTGGGGAGGGAAGATGCAAGGACTTGCCCGTACGTCTCGATGTGATAGAGAAACTGGGAATAGAAAAGTCGACCTCTCCTGTCTGAGTGAGCTGTGTGAATGTAAGAAAAAGCTGATAAAATGAAAAAGTTAATGCACTCTGCAAATCATAATTCCAATCATCATTCATGATTTAAAATGAATTCAAATTATTAGTTTCATACATACATGGTATGTTTCAACAGCTGATAAGGACTTTGATGCTCCCTGGGAGATTCCTGATGAGCCTTCAGATGAAATGGACATGAATCAGACTTCTGTGACTGTCCGAAGCTTTGCAGACAGGTGAATGTCTTAAAACTACTAATGCTTATATTACTTTTCATTTGATAGACAGCAAATGTAACTACTCTTATCATCCAGGACAGCGTAATGCTGCCTTCACACCGGACGCAATGCGATGTTTGGGGGTGGCGCAATTACATGTAAAGTCAATGCAGAGACGCAAATTCGCTCCTGACGGCGAGCATGAAGCGGTGGACGCGAATTCTGCGGCGCGATTGAAGGGGGCCGCGACAAACGCTCGAGTTACATTTTTCCGCGATCTCGCGGTAGCCAATCAGCGGTCTTGTTTGAATGATGCTAGTAAACAAAGCTGACAGCCGCGGTGAAACCCGAGCGTTTAGAGCAGGGGTCGGCAACCTTTTTGATATGAAGTGCCATTTAAAAAAAGAAATGAAATCAGCGTGCCAAAGATTGAGAATTATCAACGGGGGGGGGACGCCCGCGGGGGGGTTAGAGGAGCTTGACCGCTCGTCAACATATCAGGCGGGGAGGCGCGGGGGAGCTCCGCTTGCGGGGAAGACAGTGTGTGCGCTGTCAGCCGCAACTTCTACATGATGAAAACCGAATTTAACAAACACATTTAACAAAACAGCAACATGAAGGACGCCTATCGTCCGTGCCCCGCCTCGCCGCCTGACTCCCTCCCCCATGATCACTCTCACGCCCGGTCATACAGAGTGACGCAGCTCCCCCCCGCTGCGGTCTTTTAAGAGCAGAGAGCCGGGGCGGGGGGCGGCCGGGGGCGGGGAGAGACGCGCGCGCCTCCGCCTCCCTTGCTGCATCGTGTCGCTTTTGTGACCTGGCTAAGCGACAGTGACGCCCGGAACAGTGTGTATGTTCTGGAGTGACAACCGGCCGAAACCCCCCCGGGGCAGAAAACAGAGGTCTGCTGTGATGTATTTTGTGAACAGACGACAGCTACATACAAGCCCATGCAACGCCGGTCTCCCAACGACGCTCGCCCTCTCTCCCCCCAGCCTCTTAAGCTAAAGTGGCCTAATTGAACTGCCCCAAGCTGTTGCTTCTGCTCTCGCTCCCCCCCCCGCGTCTGGGCGGCCGCCGCAAAGTTCACACCGCGGCCAGTCCGCCTTTGTAGCAATTTACCTCTCTCGCTGCCAAGAGATGAGCAG